CAGTCTGGTTTGAATGTCTGCGTATACATGATGGTGTCATTTTATTTTTTTATTTTTTTATTTTTAATGCAGTGCCCTCTGAAAATGCAACACCGAATGGGAAGAAATGCAAAAGCTGTTTTGCTAAAGAGCGTACCTACTGCACATGGGAAGAAACTATTTTGTGCAAAGGAGATCAGACTTACTGCCTTGATTTAGCTGGAGAAGCTGACTGGGGTGGATACGGTACTTTGCAAGCACATGGTAACGACCCTCTCTTTTTCTTTTCTTTTTTCTCTTTCTTTTCTGACTTTCCCTTTCTCTATCTCTCTCCCACAGACCTAGCCAGTGCAGAATTGGACAACTCACTATGGCCAACTCGCTGCTGGACCCTTTAACAATTTGATTTAATTTTTTTAAATGTAAATAAAACAGTATTTTATTTTTTGCCATTCACATTTCATTCTGTCCCTCCTCCTTCATCCTTTCTTTAATGGTTCTATTCTACCAATTCTTTGATATTAGTGTAACTCTTCTCCCACAGCGAGTGGTCCCACGGCAAGGTGGCCATGTTGAGTTGGCCATGTTGAGTTGGCCATGGTGAGTTGGCCTTGTTGAGTTGGCCATGGTGAGTTGGCCATGGTGAGTTGGCCTTGTTGAGTTGGCCATGTTGAGTTGGCCATGTTGAGTTGGCCTTGTTGAGTTGGCCATGTTGAGTTGGCCATGTTGAGTTGGCCATGTTGAGTTGGCCATGTTGAGTTGGCCTTGTTGAGTTGGCCATAGTGAGTTGCCATGTTGAGTTGGCCATGGTAAGTTGTCCTATGGCAAGTTGGTTGTGGCAAATTGTCATGCCAATGCTATCTTTTCCCAAGATTGCAATGCAGGAAATACCTGTGCAATCTCAGAGAAAGATGGGGTTGCATCAAGGAGTTGCCAACAGGTGCTACAGGCAGGCTTCCTTACTCCTCAAAGTATACTTTGTGCCTCTGAATGCAGCCATGGCATTCTCAAGTCTTTGAGCTATCAAAAGTTAATTATTTGGGGCAATTACAGGTAGTCCTTGACTTATGACTCATCATTTAGTGACCTTTGGAAAGTACAATGGACCTCCCCAGGGCTACTGACAACCCAGTTCCAATTTTCTGGCACCTTTCCTGGTCATGTGACCACAGGTTGAATACTCGACAACCAGCTTGCATTTACAGCTGTTTGCAGCATCCCACCGTCACATGACCACATTTCACAACGTTTTTGCTGAAAGCCAGCATTTATATTCAGACTGTGGGATGCTGCAGAACTGAAGAAGCTTCTTGGATGAGAAGCGAAACATCTTCAAGAAGAGGGGGAAAAAACCCAAGAAAGTTCAGTTGACTTTTGAAAAGCACCTTTGGGACAACCATGACTGTATGACTGAGAATCTCCATAGACATCACTGTCTCCCACTCTCTATCCTAGTGCCTTAACCCCTAGATCAAACTGGTTCAATAATAATAGTAATAGTAATAGTAACAGTAATAATAATAATTCAAACAGACAGGCACCTGCCACATATCACCCCCAGATTTAACAATTGTCGATAAGGAAGACAAAAAAAGTCTGGATAGTGGATGTGGCAGTGCCTGGAGACAGCAGAATAGACGAGAAAGAACTGGAGAAGATAACAAAATACAAAGACCTACAAATAGAAATAGAACGACTGTGGCAAAAGCAAGCAAGGGCAGTACCAATAGTCATAGGTGCTTTGGGTGCAATCCCAAAACAACTGGAGCACCACTTGAACACCACTGGCACTGACAAATTTGCCATTAGTCAATTGCAAAAGGTTGTTTTACTAGGAACATCCACATCTGCCTATCCCAGGTCCAGTCTGAAAGCTGGATGACTGCGATACTTTCTCCTCCTCCTCCTCCTCCTCCTCCTCCTCCTCCTTCTATAGTAATATCACAGCAGGCAGGATGTGGAACTGCTGGGAATTCCAAGCGAGTTGGCTAGGCTGGGGGGAAAGGAGTCTAAAATTTCCAATTGTCTCCACAGATGAAGTGGCCACCACGATAAAGTTTGCCATGAAGGGCTGCGTCAACCCCGCCTTCTGCGAGCTGTTTCATGAGGGATCGGTCTATTTTGCCACGCTCTTTCTATTGGGTAGAGGAAGCTGCAAGCCAGCCACTACAAAAGCCACAGCTGTACCATCCCCCAGAGTCAGCTTCTTCTTTCACGTGTTTGCTGGATTCTTACTTGTGGAGATCTATGCTTGATGACTTCCTGCCTGAGACTTTTCTCCTGGACAGCCTCATGGGCAACCTCTTCAGCCCTTAGGCTTTATGCAGATCGTAGCCTTTACAGATTCTGAAGAACTCAGATCGTCTAAATTATATAAGTGGTGGTTTCTTTTGCATCTTGGTGGCCCTCCAGAAGGAGCAAGGCAAGCCCCCTCCCCAAAGGCTACTATACTCTCAAGCAATGGTTAAAGGAAACAAATGTTGACCCATGGTGGATGTGTAAAGCACATGGTGGATGTGTAAAGCAGTATTTTTCAACCTTGGGCAACTTTAAGATAGGTGGACTTCAACTTCCAGAATTCCCCAGCTAGGGAATTCTGGGAATTGAAGTCCATCCATCTTAAAATGGCTAAGGTTGAGGTTAGGTAGATACTGTGTTGGTCTGTTCTCAGAAGATGGTGGTTCTGAAGAATGGAGAGACTTGAAGATGGTTTCATGCTAAAGAATGGGGCCCCAGATGTGTAACAGAACCTGTTTCCTGGTTATGTTGATGGCTGTTTTTATGATTTTTTTTGGCTTGTTGTATTCTGTGTTTCATTTTTGTATCTTTATGTACATTTTACTTATTTTAATGTTTCGGACTGCCCAGGGTCATGATTTTGTGATGGGTGGCCGTATAAATGGATTGAATACATTTTTTGAAGAAAAAAAAACTCTTGTCTGACTCATTGAGAGTTGGGAGAACCTGCTTCATCACTGCTGGAAGTGTGAGCGTATACGTGTGATGACGAAGTTGATGGGTGTCTTTTATTGTATAAAGGTTGTTGGTTTCCTCCAGATATTGCTAACCAAGTGTTGGAGAACAGCCATCCCATCTGAGAGGAGGGATCAAATAGGGAATTAGCATGGAGTCATTACATAAACACAAGAGGGCAAGGTGTCCCTGCCCCTTGAATGTTTTTGAGCCTTATCTAGTCTTTCCGAGGTGAATTTGCCAGTCTGGGAAGATTCCTGTACAATAGGCATAGGACAATAAAGTAGCTAGTTTGAACTCTACACATGTGAGTCTGGTTGTTCATGCCTGACAGCAAATTCTTCATTGACTGGTCTGATATGGATGCCTAAGCCATTCTTTAACTTGTATTTTCTCCTTCCTTCTCAGCTGGATCTGTTACATACAGTAGATACTCTATCAACATAGACATAGCCCACCTTTGGCTCTGATGGCCAAAACAACAAGCATCCTAGACCAGGGCTTTTCAACCTTTTCACCCATTGTATCACTTTTAGGATATGGCAACATCTGAGTACCACCAGTCGCCTAGAAAGGTGTCAAAAACTTGATGACCCCCCTTCCAAAAAAAGGAAAAAAGTGATAAAATACAGGTAGTCCTTGACTTACAACAGTTCGCTTAGTGACTGTTCAAAGTTACAATGGCACTGGAAAAGTGCCCCCAAGCTACAGCTGAGCAAGACACCTGCCTGCCAACCCAGTGGCGCTCTTCGTCCTGTCCGAGGTTTTCATTGTTGTGAGCATTTCTGTTGAGGATTGGCAGCGGGGGTGGGGTGGGGGTGTTTGGTTTTTATTCCCCCCGTCTGCTGGGTGGTTGCAGCAGGTTTTGGTCACTTCACATGACCCTGGGACACTGTAACCGTCATAAATATGAATCAGTTGCCAAGCATCTAAATGTAAATCACAACCCTGGAGATGCTGCAACATTCCAGCTGATCAGCACTTCTTCTGGGCTCAGCAGAAGCGCCAGGATCAATGCTGCTTTCCAGCTGATCGGCGCTTCTGGGCTCAGCAGAAGCACCAGGATCAGCGCCGAGCTCCAGCTGGGGCCTGTCGCTGATCCTGGTGCTTCCACTGAGCCCTGAAAGCCCTGCAGCTCCAGCCATCTCTCGCTCAGGCTTGTGCGGTGCTGCCACTGGTTCAGCTCATTCCCCGCTACCACTTTTCTAGGATGGTTGCATACTACCTGCCAGGTGCCAATGTACCACAGGTGGTACCCATACCACTGGTTGAAAAGCCCTCTCCTAGACAACCCCTCAATGTTGTTGATTACAAGTCCCAGCATCCCTAGTCCTTGACTATCCTTCAGTCTGAGTTCACTATCCAATAAATGTCCTCTGTTGATGTGGGCAGAAATCTACCACTAGCTTACTGAATGACTGGGATATTTGCTTTCTCTCCATCAATCTCTCTCACAAGGTTGTTTTTGTAAGGAAAAATTGGTAGAGGGAATGCTATGCGCATCTCCTTGAGCTTCTAAAGCAGGGGTATAGGGGTCTTCAAACTTGGCCCTTTTATGACTTGTGGACTTCAACTCCCAGAATTCCTCAGCCAGGCTGAGGAATTCTGGGAGTTGAAGTCCACAAGTCATAAAAGGGCCAAGTTTGAAGACCCCTGTTCTAGAGCAATGTTTCTCAACCTTGGCAACTTGAAGATGTGTGAACTTCAACTCCCAGAATTCCCCAGCCAGCATTGGTAAGGAGGGTATAAATCCATCAAATAAATAAAACAATTGAAATTAATGTTTTCAGCAAAGATTAGCTTTCATACAAACATTCCAAACACAGCGCTTTCTCTGGAAAGAAAGCCTAAACTAAAATTAAAATCAACTAAAAATAACACTAAACACAAATAGAAAATCCAACTCAGCCTGTAGGCTTCTTTTCTTTTTCTTTTTATTTTTTTAATTCTAAGAATTAGTCAACAGGAAGAATCACCACTTAAAACTGTAAGTTTCCATTCAGAGTCATTTCAATGACGCCGGTTCTATTGGATGAAATTGCTGACCTTTATTGTTTTTCAACTTGGAGGGCGTCCTTACATTCAACTTTCTCCAGATAATTTCTGTTTTCTTCATGGGTTGCATTGCTCAAACTCAACAGAGGACAGGAAGAAACGCAACCTTTGAGATTATAAGCGATGTCTCCAGGATCTGAAGAAATAACCAACAAGATGCGGGTCAGAAAAACAGAATAACAGCATTGGAAGGGCCCTTAGAGGTCTTCTAATCCAAGCCCTGCTCAAGTAGGAGACCCTATACCATTTCAGACAGATGGTTGTCCAATCTCTTTTTAAAAACCTCCAGTGAAGGCAAGCTTTTCCACTTATTAATTGTTCTCACTGTCAGGAAATCTCTCCCTATTTCTAGGTTGATTCAACCTTGGCAACTTGACAAAGTATGGACTTCAACACCCAGAATTCCTCAGCCAGCCATGCTGGCTGGGGAATTCTGGGAGTTGAAGTCCACACGTTTTCAAACTATCAAGCTTGAGAAACATTGACTTAGGACAGGGGTCTGAGGAATTCTGGGAATTGAAGCCCACAAGTCTTAAAGTTGCCAAGTTTGGAAACCTGTGGCTTAGGGCGTTGTGTCAGCATCCTTCACTTAATTCAAGATATTATGTCCACCCTCCCCCCCAATTATTACATTAAGCATGTTGTGTGAACATACCCACCCATCTTGACTTCATCCTTTTTTAACCACCTTGTAAAGCAAGGTAATCATTATGCAAATATATACCACACAGTGATGGAATTTTTGACTTTGGACCCAGTAACTGTTTCCTTTACACCTTAGAAAAATATCTTTACACTATTATTTCTCTCGTTACCAAAGATTGCAAAATAAAGTGGGTTCATTTCTATTCTGCAGTGCAGTGTGTGTGTGTGTGTGTGTGGAGGTGGGTGTCTCTGATCATTTGCCCATTTCAGCTTCCACTGACAGCACCATGCCTTGTATGATTGCTGCAGCCCACAATCGCTTTAAAAAGAAAAAGAATTACAATGTTCATATCTGTGTCCCACGATGTTAATGCACTTAGTCTCGGTTCCTTTGCAAATAGCTTCAAATTCAGTGCTGTCCTTCGTAAAAAGGCCAAGTGAGCCAGGGCAATAGTATCCATTTGGTTGGGAGAGGGGCAGTCCTGCAAAATAAAACAATGAAACAACAAAAAAACAAACAGGAAGTGAAAGATCAACAAAAAGATCATTCATGCCAAACAAAGGTCTGGGACTTCTGTAGACTCTGCTGTCAACTTTTTCAAAAGTGCACGCATTTACAGTGCTGTGTAAACTTTGGAATACCATCACCAAAACGTTAACCCAATACAATTTCCACCCCCTTCATATTCCTGCTCGTGTCCCCAAAGGGTCTTTTTTTTTTCAAAAGGCAACTGGACTTCCTTTGTTTTTCCTTGAAGATGTTTCGCTTCTCATCCAAGAAGCTTCTTCAGTTCTCCAGTTCTAAAAAAAAGAACTAAAGAAGCTTCTTGGATGAGAAGGGAAACATCTTTGAGGAAAAACAAAAGGAAGCTCAGTTGTTGTTGTTGTTGTTGTTGTTTAAAAAAAGCACCTTTGGGACAACCATGACCTGGATGACTGAGAATCTCCATAGACCAGAGGTAGGCAACCTTGGCCTCTTCATAACTCGTGGACTTCAACTCCCAGAATTCCTGAGCCAGCCACGCTGAGAGAAAAGGGAGAGATTTCCATACTGAGCCATGCTGGCTCAGGAATTCTGGGAGTTGAAGTCCATGAGTCATAAAAGAGCCAAGGTTGCCTACCCCTGCCATAGACATTCCCATTCGTGGTCATCTGGTCATTAGTACTCTTTCTGAGAGTCATTGAGGCCACTTAGAGATTTATTTGTGCCCTCAGGGTTACCTGAACATTGCAAATGGCCGTGGAACCTTCTTGGAGCTGCTGAAAGGACTGTAATCAGGAGATAGATGGTGCCACACCCATTTGCACGTTTCAGGAGAGCCTGAGGGCCAAGTGGCCTCAACGACTCTCAGAAAGAGTGCAAGGAATATAAATCCTTCCATCCTCCACTACTCAGTCGGAACTGAAGAAGCTTCTTGGATGAGAAGCAAAACGTCTTCAGGGGAAAACAAGAGAAAGCCCAGCTGTCTTTTGAAAAAAACATCTTTGGGACAACCATGACCTGGATGACTGAGAATCTCCATAGACATTCCTGCTCATGGTTATGCTTAACAAGGAAGAGACCATATTGTACCCGCCTACCAGGAACGGCTGGAGTTGAGATTGGGAAGAACTGGATAACCTAGTTTGATCCTATCAAGTACACATAACCAGGCTCAAATGATCCTATTTCAGACCCATTTTGTGAAGGCCAAGCTTTTTGGAGAAGGCTGTAATGCTGGGAAAGGTGGAAGGAAAGAGAAGATGACCCGCAGCAAGGTGGGTAGACTTAGCTATATTGCTAATGGGTTCAACCCTGGAACAGGTGAAGGGTCAGGTGAGAGACAGAACATCGGGGAGGAAATCTATGCGATCACTAGGAATCAGGAAGGACTTGATGGCATGCAATCAATCCATCAAACAGCTGAGCTTCCCAGGATGAGCATGCAAACGTTGTGCAAACAGAATGTTTGTACAACGTTTGGCCCTGAAATGAACTGAAAATGTCCTTATCAAGGTCACTGAATTTCTTTGTGCTACTCCAACTTTGCTCAAACGTTTTGAATTCCTGAAAGTGGGGGGAAGGGAAAGATTCTCTACATCTCTGCCCTCACACTCAAACTCTTTAGATGGGCCAGAGTAGACTCTTGAAAGATGCCAAGCAAGGCTGTCCTTCTTGTTTATTTATTTCCCCCCCCCCCCGGTTTGTATTCCGCTCTTTCATTCAAGGGATATACAAAGGATATCTTCCTCCGATTGTGTCCCAAAATGACGCTGTGAGATGGGTGGGATTGAGAGAAAGTGACCAGATTAAAGTCCCCCAGGGAATATTAGCATATGAATTGAACCTGGTGCTAATTCACCAGTTTCCCTGTGACACCACCCTCCGTGCGTGGAGAATGTTCTCTCTCAAAGGTGCTTTAAACCGGCTTGCAAAATTCTTTAGATCTTTGTGCTGCCCCCTACTTGGAGAAGCAAGGTGTCCACTATTTGAGTGGACAGTCCACTTTTTTCACATTATGTTCACTTTTTTTTCACAAAATAGTGGACATTTTTTTTATTCAAAAGCTTTATGATGAAATGGTACATAATCTAAAGCTGTACAGTCTACTTTTTTACTACTTAACCCCCCCCCCCCGCTTGTCCGCTATTTTTTGGAAGCAGACCTGGCAACCCTATAATTACCATCAAGTAATTCTCATCTTAAACCTCTTTGCCTCATTTTTAACCCCCAAATCATCTGTTTGTTTTTTTTTCTTCTTTCAATAAAAGTCCATATTAGGTTTCAGTCTTTTTTTTAAAAAAAAAAGTCTTTATCATTTTTTTTTCTCAGATCAAACTGCTCAGCTTCACCATTTCTGCAACTTTAGTTAATTTGCAAGCTCGGCTAATCTCACGACCTGCTGTTCTTACGGAACAGTAACTCTTAAACCTCAGATCAACGAGGGAAGCTAAACCCATTAAATCAAGGTCAATACTCTGTTTATCCAACATTGGCAAATTGGATTTAAAAAACAAAACAAAGCATAAAAGCTTGTCAGCCAGGACAAAATCAGTGTGTATTTGTTAGATGGTGAGGGAGGAAGTTTGACAGGGCAGGAAGGAGGTCTCCCGTGGCCTATATTACCCTCTAAAATAGGGAACGTGTTGGGAGATCAGGATCCTAGTCCTTCTGAGCAAACATACCCGGAAACGATTGGTCTTCACACGGTTCTTTCTCACAGCAATTGATTCTTCCTCTTACATATGAGTCATGCCCAATATTTACATCAAAGTGCCTAAGTTTGCAGACGCTGGATGAGAAACAGTTTTTGTGCACAGTTCGGACTGACAGCGATGCTGTGCGAAGGAAGAAAAAAAAAGGAAGGGGGGGGGGTTTAACTTGGTGGAGCTGTTGATTTGATGACAGGTCATGCTAAACGCCCAGAAGATCATACAACTCATGCAAGCAAAAATATATTTCAAAAGCAATAGCCAACCCTCAAATGCAAGCGCCCAATATCTACTGTACGTGTTATTTACAAGTCGAGAAAAATTTCACAGACCTCCCCCCCCCCTGCTCCTTTATTGCTGTTATGATCCCTGAAGAAGTGAGGGCAACTTTTACTTTGAATAAACCCGGAGAGAGTTGTGGACTTTTGGAAGCCCCCTTCCCAAGGCTGTTACTGGTTTAACCATTATAGCTGACACTATAGGGAGGGGCAATTCTGAAACATCCCAATAAACCAGGGGTGTGAAATTCAGAATCTTCTCTGGAATCTGTTCAGAATCTTCTCTGTGGGAAATTTCAAAATATTTTCTTTTTTTACAGAACAGTGGAGAATAATGTTCCTGGGAGAAATTTAGCTTAAGCCAGCAATTGCTGAGAATCATACCAGCAGGTATGATATCAATCAGTTAACCTTGACAACCTGGTCAGGTTAATTCCGGGGGGCAACAGCCCCTGGGGAACCCCAAGCTTTAGTTTAGAATGAAAAATAAAATAAAAACATTCACAATGCAGGCTAAAGGAAACTGTTCTGCATTGTTCCCAAGAAGACTCTATAGCAGGGGTGTCAAACTCAATTTCATTGAGGGCCACATCAGCATTGCAGTTGCCCTGGAGGTGTGTGTGTGGCCTACTGGGTGGGCGTGGATGGAGTGGATGTGGCAGCTCTACATCGTTCACGTCAAGGGTGCCTGTGGGGGCCTGGGCAGGAGTGGGACAGATCTGAGGGTCTCTGGCAGAAGGAGGTGGGACCGGGGCAAGCGCCAAGGCATGGTGCATTTCTTCATTCCTCACAAAGGGTGACACCTCCCCAGCATGCACCCAGGGGGTAGGGCCGACACAGCAGGGGCTGGTTCCTCGCTGTTTCTAGACAGCCTTGTGGAGCTAAGACTGAATACATTTCAGCATAGATGGCCACCACAAAATTGTACATTGGCTCCCGGCCGGCCTGGACCAGGGCCAAGGCAGCGGGGGCCGTTCCCTCACTGTTTCCAGGATGGCTTCGCGGGCCACATGAAACCACTTCGCAGGCCGCATCTGGCCCCCGGGCCTTGTGTTTGACATGTCTACTCTATAGGCAAGGACAATGCATGTGGTCGCCAGAACAAACCCTCTTGAGAAAGTTACTCCATCGAGAAAGGGGGCCTTAGAGAAGATTCTCATTTTATTGGAAGGAAATGAGGGGAGTGGTCACTGTGGTTTTACCTGACGAAAGCTCCAGAAAGACCTTGCCACATTCATCTTCTGGAGAGGAACATTCATGTTGGAAACCTTCGCAATCTGCTCCTATGTTGTGACAAAAGTCACATGAGCGAGAGTTTCCTGGAAAAAAAAAGAAAAAAGAAAAACATGTGCCTGGTTAATTCTATTATCCCGTGGCCTTCCCCAGAGTTCTTCAATATTCTGAAATGTCGGGGCCGATCAATTACTTGTGAGGAATCCAATTCCTGAAGCCCAGATTATTATTATTATTATTATTATTATTATTATTATTATTATTATTATTATTATTATTATTATTATTATTATTATTATTATTATTATTATTGATCATCGCACAGTCAGCCAGATGTTCAGACTGGATTTGGCATTTTTGTCTACCTATCGAGTCCTTCCCAAGGACCCGGGATAGGCAGATGTGGATGTTTGATGGTATTGCAGATATCGTCGCAGGATAGAAGCAGTTCCTAGTAAGGCTGCCTTTTGCAATTGACTAATGGCAAATTTGTCAATGCCAATGAAGGTGTTCAAGTGGTGCTCCAGTTGTTTTGGGATTGCACCCAAGGCGCCTATTACTATTGGTACTACCCTTGCTTGCCTTTGCCACAGTCATTCTATTTCTATTTGTAGGTCTTTATATTTTGTTATCTTCTCCAGTTTTTTCTCGTCTATTCTGCTGTCTCCAGGCACTGCCACATCCACTATCCAGACTTTTTTTGTCTTCCTTATCGACAATTGTTAAATCTGGGGTGGTATGTGGCAGGTGCCTGTCTGTTTGAATTATTATTATTATTATTATTATTATTATTATTATTATTATTATTATTATTATTATTATTATTATTATTATTATTATTATTATTATTATTATTATTATTATTATTATTATTGAACCAGTTTTATCTAGGGATTAAGGCACTAGGATAGAGAGTGGGAGACAGTGATGTCTATGGAGATTCTCAGTCACACAGTCATGGTTGTCCCAAAGGTGCTTTTCAAAAGTCAACTGAACTTTCTTGGTTTTTTTTCCCCTCTTCTTGAAGACGTTTCGCAGTTCCTAGTAAGGCCGCCTTTTGCAGTTGACTAATGGCAAATTTGTCAATGCCAATGGTGTCCAAGTGGTGCTCCAGTTGTTTTGGGATTGCACCCAAGGCACCTATTACTATTGGCACTACCCTTGCTTGCCTTTGCCACAGTCTTTCTATTTCTATTTGTAGGTCTTTGTATTTTGTTATCTTCTCCAGTTCTTTCTCGTCTATTCTGCTGTCTCCAGGCACTGCCATGCCCACTCTCCAGACTTTTTTGTCTTTCTTATCGACAATTGTTAAGTCCGGGTTGTTGTTGTTGTTGTTGTTATTATTATAAATGGAACTCAACTAGCAAATCGAGAAATGCTCTAAAGAGCAGGGAGAAAGGCTGGTCATTTCAGGAGAGTTGATATGGGGACAGCATTAGTTCAGAAATAAGGTGTGTGCTTTCCATTCAGAAAATCACAGGTTCAGTTATAGCCTTGCAAGTGGTGGTGGTAGGAAAAAAACTTACAGAATGTGGTCACCCAGAGAGGGCAAAAGAGACGTCTGGTCAAAGCCATGATGACACCACAAGCATGGCGACATGACGTCACTGCAGCCCTTGGGTCTGTCTTATCCTTTTCTGCTTTTATCAGTAAGAAGGAGCAGATTTCTTTATCCTCTGCGCAGTAAAATCTGTTTAATAATTTAATAATTTATAGCCTAACTTAAAGGAGATTGCAAAATGTCGGTGGAATATATCCAAACATTAATAGGACTGTATTAACTAGTGATAAGGCTTTTTTTTTTTTTTTTTTTGCTGTTTAACAGTTAATAGGGCTGGCCTTTTGGCAGTAATAAAGATGAAGTGGTTGCTAAGCAAATGGCTATAAGTCAAGGACAGTGCACCATCATTTGTTTGGATACATTCATCTTTTTTTAATAATACTTTTTCAAAGTAATTTTATTATGTGTGTTCTTATTCATCATTAGATCATGCTCAGTGCATTCAATTTTGTTGTGAGATACACAATGACAATAAAGATTTTCTTTTCTATTCTATTCTGTTCTGTTCTGTTCTTTCTGTTCTGTTCTATATGTATGTATGTAAGTAGCATACAATTGGATATTTTACTGTTTCTGGCTATATGGCTGTAATAACCTGGTTTGATCCCTGCAGCCGTCCGATCCTGTAATGACCTCAGAGAACATTTATGTCATTAGCAAGATGACACAGTGGATGTGACATCACTTGCCCCCATTCCGAAGTACACGAATAAGACAAATGAAGTAATGTCCCAAAGGTGGTTTTTGTCTTGAAGACCTTTCACTTCCCATCCAAGATGCTTCTTCAGTTCTGAACTGATGCTGAACTGAAGAAGATTCTTCAATGAAGAAGCAAAACGTCTTCAAGGAAAAACAAAGGAAGTCCAGTTGCCTCCTGAAAAAGCACCTTTGGGACAACCATGACCTGGATGACTGAGAATCTCCCTAGACCAGGGGTAGGCAACCTTGGCTCTTTTATGACTGGTGGACTTCAACTCCTAGAATTCCTGAGCCAGCCATGCTGAGGGGAAAGGGAGAGGTTTCCAAGCTGAGCCATGTTGGCTCAGGAATTCTGGGAGTTGAAGTCCACCAGTCATAAAAGAGCCAAGGTTGCCTACCCCTGGTCTAGGTTTATGCTAACCACACAGCCCAGCTCCCTCTAGGACAGTGGTAGGCAACCTTGGCTCTTTTATGACTCGTGGACTTCAACTCCCAGAATTCCTGAGCCAGCCATGCTGAGGGGAAAGGGAGAGGTTTCCATGCTGAGCCATGCCGGCTCAGGAATTCTGGGAGTTGAAGTCCACCAGTCATAAAAGAGCTGAGGTTGCCTACCCCTGGCCTAGACAAATAAATCAATGGCATCAAAGAAGCTGCAATGTTCTTCAGCTCTTTCTAAGGCTTTACAAGATGATGGTATCAGTTACACTGGACTGAGAATTGGAAGATGGAAACACCTAACTTCATCCAATTTATCCAGAGGAACTGGTCACAGACCCAGACTATATTCCTCTATGTTTATCGTTTTCCAACCAAATGATTCGTTGTTAAATAATACACGTAACCTCCAAGCTAACTTATGTCCAATACAATTCAAGTAAGTGGAAAATATTAGTGGATAGTTATCAGTCTTTAAGCTGCAATCAAGCACTACTTGAACACCATTGGCATTGACAAATTCTCCATTAGTCAATTGCAAAAGGCGGCCTTACTGGGAACTGCTTCCATCCTGCGACGATATCTATAATACCATCAAATATCCACATCTGCCTATCCCAGGTCCTTGGTAAGGACTTGATAGGTAGACAAAAATGCCAAATCCAGTCTGAACATCTGGCTGACTGTGCGATGAATAATAATAATAATAATAATAATAATAATAATAATAATAATAATAATAATAATAATAATAATAATAATAATAATAATAATAATAATAAAGTTGCCATTTGGCAAATGGAGCCAATTGCAGAGGCCAGCTGTCTCTCTGGGGTCATTGAATTTAGTGCCCATGTTTTGAGCAAAGATTTAGAATATAGAATAACAGAGTTAGAAGGGACCTTGGAGGTCATCTAGTTCAACTCCTCTGCTCAGGCAGGAAACCCTATACCATTTCAGACAAATGGCTGTCCAGTCTCTTCCTAAAAACCTCCAGTGTTGGAGCATCCACAACTTCTGGAGGCAAGCCCTTCCACTGGTTAATTATTCTGACTGTCAGGAAGCTTCTCCTTAGTTCTAGGTTGCTTCTCTCCCTGGTTAGTTTCCATCCATTGCTTCTTGTCCTGCCTTCAGGCGCTTTGGAGAATAGCTTGACTCCCTCTTCTTTGGGGCAGCCCCTGAGATATTGGAAGACTGCTATCATGTCCCCCCCTCGTCCTTCTCTTCATTAAACTAGACCTACCCAATTCCAGCAACCGTTACGTAATACCTAAGTAAGGCAAAATGTAGGTATTAAGTTAGCAGGAGCAGGAAGGTACATATTACACCTAAGGGTGCCTACACAAAACTCAGCTCCTCGAGGTTTCTAACTTTTCAAGACTGAGGGACAAGAACTATGGGGAACTGAGGTTTGCTTAAATACAGGCAGAAGCCTGCAGAGCATTGCATCCCTGCTTCCAGATGACTACATAAATTCATGCTTGCATCCAAGCAGATGGCATGACGTTGAAGATGGAGAAATTGAGAACATTGAAAAGAAGGCAACCGAAGACTCGGAACTCATTTGCCTCAGGACATTCTGCAATGACATCTCCTTACCTCTGGCTACGAAAATGAAAAGAAGGCAGATGATGTGTAGAGATTTCATGGCTCTTTGGTGAGGATCAGAGCTGGACTGGAGAGGTTGACCTCAGTGAAGTTCTGGATGCTGCTGAAACCAGAGAATCTTCAGAACATGAAACAAGCACAAGTTTAAAAATGGGAAACCCCTCCCCGTAATTTAGGGCCAGCCCACTAATCAAAAAGCAAACACAAAGTGGTCAACTTAGGTGACCATCTAGAAAGTTTGCAATGTTCAGGGCATAGCCTTGTAAGCACATTTATTCTTTGCTTTCATTGGCTTGAGCCATTGGATTTTACCTTTTTATCTCCCTCTTGAGCAAAGTCCAATAACAGCCATCAAGTCAAACTATCATGTAGCGGTTCAGTCCTGGAACCAACCAAAGATAAACCAAGCTGAGGTCAGTAACCAGAGAGGCACCATCATTAGACAAACAGTTCCAGGCTCAAAAGAACATTAGCAAGGACTCATAGGGATGACTCACCCTGGGCTCAGAACCCCTGCTGAGGACAGCCTTGATTTTATTTATTCATTTATCAAATTTCCACACTGCCCATCTCACTTAAATGACTCTGGGTTTTTTCCAAACAACCTCGTAAAACAATATTAAAATAATATTAAATGCAAGTGGAAGATGGAGTTAAAAATAAGGTGAAAACTTACAAAATTACAAGTAAAAAATAAAATCAGAGTTAACAAGACTAAAAGTTTAGCAAGATACAGGGACTGCCTTCAAGTCATCAGCCATCCCAGAGACAACTCACCACAGCCAAGTCATGGCCAATTCAGCATGGCCAACTCTCCATGACCAACTCAACGCAAGTCTTGGCCAATTCAGCATGGCCAACTCTCCATGGCCAACTCAACGCAGCCAAGTCTTGGCCAATTCAGCATGGCTAACTCTCCATGGCCAACTCAACGCAGCCAAGTCTTGGCCAATTCAGCATGGCCATCTTTCCATGGCCAACTGAATGCAGCCAACTTGCCACTGGATAAGTCTCCATGGAACCATTCAACAAATACAAAAGTGAAATTAATTTTTATGGAACTGTGGCCAATAGTAATCATAAAGAAAGTCAACCGAGAAATACGAGAGTTACAATAATTTTGACAAAAACATGGTCACCAAATAATAATAGTAACCAAATTGTCCTGTGGCAAGTTGGTCATGGCGAGTTGTCCTAGACACCACACCCATGGGGGTCTAAGAGTTGTATCACACTCTTAGATACCCCCCCATGCTAATTGACAGGTCTTAAAGCTCTTCTGGAAGACTAGAAGAGTGGGGCCTCACCTCACCTCGGGGGTATTTATTTATCTTATGGCACATTCACATCACTTTTTGATAAAAACACCGGAGATAAAAATACAAAATATGAAACCCAACATATAAATATTATAAATATCCATCTAGATTACAGATATAATTTTCACTTGATTTGTCGCAGCCAGGAAATCAGCAAAGTCTCCATTATAGTTTCTATTTTGGCACTACATGTTGTTTTCCAGCCCTGCAATCACAATTCAGTGATGGTGTTTTGTCCTATGTATGGAGGGCATCTGCACATCTACCATGGCCAGTGTGAATTCAGTTCAGTGTTATCCATATTGCATGGGGCTGGTCAAATCTAGGTGTTTTTTTTCCAAAATGCAAGGCAAATTTTTACTTTGTTGGGGGAGGAGGGGGCAATTTCCTATTCAATATCGTTTCTACACATTGGGAACTGTTCCGATTGACTATTTGTGCCATCCCTTAAATCACGGAATGTCCAATATGTTCCCTGGTTGGTGCTAAAGAACAGTCCCTCCAAGGCAAAACATGTGAAGCCATGAAGATATGGCAGCCAGTTAATGTTAGCAATCTCCTGGCTATATCATATCACCTTGATGGCTAAGATGCTCCAAAGGATGTGGGCAGAGGCTCCTTTATTAGATTCTACTACTCAAATTCTTTAACCTGGTTGGTAAGACCACACTTGGAATACTGCATCCAGTTTTGGTCACCACGATATTAAAAAAGGCATTGAGACTCTAGAAAGAGTGCAGAGAAGAGCAACAAAGATGATTAGGGGACTGGAGGCTAAAACATATAAGGAACGGTTGCTGGAATTGGGTATGTCTAGTTTAACGAAGAGAAGGATGAGGGGGGACATGATAGCAGCGTTCCAATATCTCAGGGGCTGCCACAAAGAAGAGGGAGTCAAGCTATTCTCCAAAGCGCCTGAAGGCAGGACAAGGAGCAACAGGTGGAAGCTAACCAAGGAGAGAAGCAACCTAGAACTAAGGAGAAACTTCCTGACAGTTAGAACAATTAACCAGTGGAACAACCTGCTTCCAGAAGCAGTGAATGCACCAACACTGGAAGTTTTTAAGAAGAAACTGGACAGCCATTTGTCCAAAATGGTATAGGGTTTCCTGCCTGAGCTGGGGGTTGGACTAGATGACCTCCAAGGTCCCTTCCAACTTTATTATTATTATTATTATTATTATTATTATTATTATTATTATTATTATTATTATTATTATTATTATTATTATTATTATTATTAACGATTGCTGGAATTGGGTATGTCTAGTTTAATGAAGAGAAGGACGAGAGGGACATGATAGCAGTGATCCAATATTGAAGGGGCTGCCACAAAGAAGAGGGGATTAACCTATTCTCCAAAGCACCTGAAGGCAGGACAAGAAGCAATGGATGGAAACCAAACAAGGAGAGAACCAACCTAGAACTAAGAAGAAATTTCCTGACAGTGAGAACAATTGACCAGAGGAACAGCTTGCCTACAGAAGTTGTGGGTGGTCCAACACTGGAGGTTTTTAAGAAGAGATTGGAGAACAATTTCTCTGAAATGGTATAAAGTCTCTTGCTTGAGCAGGGGGTTGGATTAGAAGACGTCCAAGGTAACTTCCAACTCTGTTATCCTATCTAAGTACTTAACTGTGGCAAAAAAGGGTTCAGATATGTCTCAATTAACAACCACCTTGCTTAGCAATGGGAATTTTATCTCCCGGTGGTGGTCGTAAATTGAGGACTGCTGGTGATGCTTACTGGTAACAGCCACCATCAGAAAATGGGTTAGTTCATTAAGTAGGATTCTAGGCGTCTTTACATGGGATCTCCAGCCTCTGCAAATTATTCCAAGTGGATTCCATTGAAACATAGGCCCTGAGTCCACTCTTCAACTTCAGTAATAATTTACAAGCTGTATCTATAGTAATAGTCAGTTATCTATGTGGTATCAGACATTCCAGAATCACGATGTTCTCTTATGAAGGTTTCATTTGTTTTGGGCAAGTGTGGTGTAATCCTTAGACTTGCACCCATGTCCCATCTTCCAAAGTTAATATTAGCACAGTGAGAATATTAGCAAAGCCATTTATCTGCCATTTATCCATACTTGGCTAGTGTTAAAAAAAAACAACAAGTATCTAGTTTACCTGCTTACCTACTGTTGTTGTGCATTTACTATTCCCCCTACCTTGAACTGTAAATTAAAAATAGTTACAGCTTAAAGCATAAGATTTTTAAAAAGTTATTATGTGCTGGCATCTTACTTTCTTCCATTACTGTTTTGAAACTTTGATAGGCCTTTAATTGTTGTGAGATGGACACATTGTCCTTGGCTGTTGAATTGGGATGCTATAAAGACACCCTTATTTATCAGAACAGATACTGTACCCGTCTAGAGATGTCAGAGCCATACCCCATGTGGAAAACAGGATCCACTCCATTTTGAATCTCTTCTGCTCCTTCTGTTCAAGAAGGCTCCGACTAACTGTGTCAACGCTGCTAACATTGGATGTTCCTGCTTTGACAACAGATGGAAATGCAGCCATTTTTCTCTATTGCTTTAGAGTTAGTTGGAGGGGGAAAGTGGATGAGAGTCCAGCTAGTCATAACAATAATAACTCAGCTGTGGGAACCCAAGGCCATTGGGCCCAGAGTTGATAGAGTTATGGCGGGCTGGAGGTTAGTTCATTAAACAGGATTCTAGTCGTCTTTACATGGGATCTCCAGCCTCTCCAAACTATTCCAGGTGGCTTCCATTGAAACATAGGCCCTGAGTCCACTCTTCAACTTCAGTAATAATTTACAAGCTGTATTTATATTAATAGTCAGTTATCTATGTGGTATCAGACATTCCAGAATCACGATGTTCTCTTATGAGGGTTTCATTTGTTTTGGGCAAGTGTGGTGTAATCCTTAGTCTTGCACCCATCTCCCCATCTTCCAAACTTAATATTAGCACAGTGAGAATGCTGGCAAAGCCATTTATCTGCCATTTATCTATATTTGGCTACTGTTAAAGAAAAACACCTAGATGAACATCACAGAACTTGGATAAATGTTTATAGGCACGTACAGATAATCCTCAAATTATGAACACCATTGGGATCAAAATTTCCACCGCTAAGCAAGGGAGTTGAATTGTGCCCAACGTTATGATCATCATCATCACCAGAATTGGAAGGGATCTTGAAGGTCTTCTAGTCCAAATCCCTGCTCAAGTACGAGACACTATACCATTTCAGACAAATGGTTGTTCAATTTCTTCTTAAAAACTTCCAGTGTTGGAGCACCCACAATTCTTAAAGGAAAGCTGTTCTACTGATTGATTGTTCTCACTGTCAGGAAATTTCTCCTTAGTTCTAGGTTGCTTCTCTCCTTGGTTAGCTTCCATCCATTGCTCTTCTTTGCACCCTTTTTAGAGTCTCAACATCTTTTTTATATCTTGGTGACCAAAACTGGATGCAGTATTCCAAATGTGGTCTTATCAGGGCCTTATAAAGCGGCACTAACACTTCATGTGATCTTGATTCTATCCCTCTCTTGATGCCACATAGTTTTGCATTGGCTTTTTTGGCATCTGTAGCACCCTGCTGGCTCATATTTAAGTGATTGTCCACTAGGACTCCAAGATCCTTCTCACAGTTACTGCTATGGAGCCATATTTTGCCTATTCTAAACCTGTGCATTTGATTTTTCTTGCCTAAATGTAAGACCTTGCTTTTTCTCTACTCTG